CTTCAAAGCAAATGACGGCGGAGCATTCGCTCGCGACACTTGTCTTAATGAACGCTCCCAGAACAATAGTTGGTGGTGCTTGAAAGAAACGGGAAGCGCGAATTCTATCAACGAACTTTTGTTTCCGCCAGATGACATGATTGCGCTTATAAAGTAGCTTTGGTTCTATTTTTATATTAACTTAATTATCAAGGTTTAATAAAGAAGGAAAACAAAAATTATATATGCGCAAAAAGAAAACGAGTCATCCTCGTGAGTCTAATGACTCCATAGAGTTCATATACATACTAACTCTAGATGGAAAGGTCCGCCATTTTCCCGAGCATTTTGGCTGCCGAAAGCGGCGGAGCCTGGAGACAGACCTTTGGAGTCCCACACATGGTTACCAACTGCCTTCGATTTCACGAATACAATTATCATTAGAGCATGTTTCATGAACTTTAACAATCCGCGTACTTACCGGTGGAAAGATCTTCGCGCCCCTTTCGAAGCTTTCCTTTTGCATAGCGCGCAGTTGTACGGCATCGCGTCAACGCAAAACTAAACCAGATAAGCAGCTTCGCGCACTGGTTTTGATAGGTGTTCCCCGGGGAAACGAAACCGCGTAACCACAAGATTCTTGAGATTTCGACAGAAGGGAAAGTTAATGTAGCGTAAAGAGTACATTACTTTTTATAAGCGTTAGAATAGGTGAGAATTTAGTTTAAAACGTTAATTTATTACTTTTTACATTACTGAGAGTTTCCAATCTTCGCGATTACCATTTCGACTGTCGTTATTCAGCTGGCAACATAGGTTTCTTTCTCTCGTGTTCGGTCGTGCTCTTTTGCGGTCTTTCACTCGGGACTCCAGATGTCGGTGCACAGGGTTCGCCACTCCCCCCCCCCCACACACACACACACACACCTTTACCCCCCTGAATGACTCAGCCTCACTGGTGAACAATCAATAGCTGACGACCCTCGACAAAACAAAGGCATCTTTTTTTATTAACCCGAGATTATTTTTGTTTTTTACAAAACAGTAGTTTTGTTATCAGTTGGTGATTCCCAAGACCTAGATAGGTTGCCAACTTGGTGTATTTGGTAGTATATTTGAGAATAGTGGATGTTGGTTGTTTATCTTGGGGGGCAAGGCCTAAGTAGCATGCCAGTGTTTAACTAGCACCAGAAGCTTAACGTGCCATATAAATTACAGAATGATTGTAGAACTGCGAATGCAACATCAGCTGAACACTCGAGATGCCCATTAGCAGCGGCGTAGATTTTAAATTTTCCCGGGAAAGGGGGGGGGGGGGGGGGCAGGCTGAGAATTTCTTTTCCGCGCAATTTTTTTTACACCGGCAATCATCAGTAGTTTATTCTAGGGGTGCATTTTACAGCATATGTATATCGCCATCTGTCCGTCGCTGTGTGTGTTATTTTATTTGCATTCCACTACTAGAAGCTCGTTACATGGCACGTAACTAGAGTCTCGGTAACGATCATGGTCCGAGAAGGGCTCTGCCCCCCCCCCCCCCCTACCCCGGAACTCACCAGTGCAAGCAGGAGCCCCTCCCCCCCCCTCCCCCCCTCCCCCCCCCCCCCCCCCCCCCCCCCCCCCCCCCGCAGTCTACGCATATGCCCATTAGGCTGATCAAGTGTCATGCATATCCATACTCTTATAAGCCGCTAAATTTGCGAATATGTTTGCTTTTTATAATGAACATTTCAGATATTTAGGGTCAATGTCTTCCTCTTGCAGCCACCGAGCGATGAAGACCAGTTTGTACACGGCGGTATTGGGAACCTTTCTACTCGTCGCTGTTGTTCGCGCCTTACCTACAGTGCAGAGCAAACCAGGTGGGTCATTTCATCAAATTGCCAAAGCGGATTTCATCGTGTTTTTCAAAGGTGTGTAGGCGGCGACGTACGTCACGTGTAACTCTCATTTTCATCTAATTTCAATAGATGTTAATGATCGGTTGACTCTAGTCAAGACCGATTCAAAAGAAAGTTTTAGCATATCGTTTTTAAAGTCTCGATGCTGCACCGGGAGCGCATGTTAAAGTATGGTTCAAAGTTTCAGAGCAACCTCCCGCTGCCAATCTTTTTCTAAAAGAATATAATCGACTGAAGCTTCCCAATGTTAATACGTCCATGGAAGTATCCCAAATATTCTATAAATAACGTACTTCACGTTTACATGACTTACTGGCATAATAATGGAATGTGAGATAATGGTATCAGCCTACTTAATAGACTGAGCCAGCTACGCTAGCGTAAACTATCGTTATCAGGGTAAATCCACTTCTGTTTTTTATTTAGGTCTTGTCTTTAGATATATGAGTATGAATCCCGATTGCGCGCAATCCTATGGTGTCCACCCGCCTTTTTCAAAAAGTATTCTATCCAAAGTAGTTGATATACAACTTGCCGTTATATACCCTATTGAAAAATCCACCAGCCCGGGTCTGGTGTGTTTCTGACGTTTACATCAGAGCGGAAATTCAGACACGGGTCTTGGCGTGTTCTGGTGCCCTGGTGTGTTCTAGTGTGCTGACGTGTTCTAGTATCCTGACGTGTTCTAGTGTCTTGACGTGTTCTAGTGTCTTGACGTGTTCTGATGTGATCCGGCCGACCTAGTGTATTCTGGGGTGACCTGGTCATGCATGCACAATATAATTTAGATGCAGAAAGGACTGCTGATGACAACAGCTAGCAAATTGTGCAAAAAGACTGCTAATTTTTTGCAGGTTTAGTGCTCATTCTGCCATGAAACAAAACTACAAAGAGAATGAAACTTACTATTTTATTTTTTTCCCAACATGCACCACTGGCAAACATTCTCATGCAGACTGGGCTGTCCATGACTCTTTTCTTCCATGCCACTTTTGCCAGCACATCTGGATGGCTAAGATGATGGCTTCGGCAAGTCGGTATTGCGTGATAAAACCTGCAGTGCATAAAATGAAATACACGAGCAGTTATTCATAAAAAAACCCTTAAAATAATAAAATCACAACTACAACAGTGAACAAGAGGTTATGTCGTGTCGAGCCTGATAATCAGTCAATTTACCACTCGGCCCGGCCTCCCACGTTCTATCTGATTTCGCCTACCTGTGGGCAACATAATACAGTCAAACCTGACTATATCAAACTCTCAAAAAACCGTCTACCACTTTGATATAGAGGGCAATTCTCTATAGAAGTTTTAATGAATTTGACAACGAACAAGCACGCCACATTTTGAAAAGTTGTCCACGCTCGAAGGGGCATCTGTACATCATGAGGGACGCCGACTGCAGTTATATAGTGGCCGCTTCTTCGTTTACCGGCTCACCCTCTCCCCCCACAAGACTTTTTTTTACTCCTGGGCGGCCGACACGGCTGCTCAAAAGAAAAAAAGCCAGCTTTCTCTGCAAGCTGGCTCTCCCCCAAGGATGATTCTCAAGCAGGGGGAAAGCCAGCTTGCAGAGCTAAACAGCGCTCTTGGCAGATCAGTCCATGGGGAGACGCTGCAATTTTCGTTCGATGTAATTGCATTTTTCGCTATGCATTTGTATTGCAGCTACCGGTCCATTTACAAACAGTTTAAGGGCACAAGGTAAGTCCTATACTCCCCATGCATTTGAGGCCATGTTGAGGAACAGTTTTCTTGGTGACTATTAGGAGTATTTCTGTCATGCATATATCATTTTGTTCGAAACATTGTGTTTTATCCACTGAACTAGAATTATTTGAACCAATCTAAAATAAGTATTTTTAAATATATTTTTATTCTAGTACTGAAATTTTAGTTTTTTCATCTATCAAGAACTTTATAACTCAAAAACTGCTAGGTGCACTTTTTTAATTTTAGTTCAGTATTTTTGAACATCCATGTATGTGGTAGGAATAAAAAATCAACCCTCTATAATGTCAGGTTAAGGAAAAAATGGTACCTATGTACTAAAAAACACTGTTTTGAGATAATTGAGTTTAAAGTAAAAAAACTGGTGAATAACGAATTTCTATTGGCACCAACAGCCTTAGTCATTTTTTCAATAGCCGCCAGCTTGAAAGGCATTGCTAAAGTCATATCTTCGCCTTTAGGCTTATCGCATTGCTTGCCGGGCCTCTTTTGTGACCTGCCATGTCGCTTGGTCCGTAAAGTATATTAGAGTGATGTCAACTTCCCTCAGCCACTTGATGGCTTTCCAAACAGGGTTCCATCCACAAAACTTCAAAACATTGGCTTGTGCAATGCTGCCACCATTGACTAAAGGAACAGCATTCAATGGTGCCATTTTGTCGTTATGAAAACACAAACACTTGAATGTACACACGTTACACACCTGGGAAAAACGTGCACAGCGTCTCGTGATTGTCTTGGTTGAAAAAAAGCTATGCAATAGTTTCAAAATAATTTGTTTAGATTATCTGTTACTGGACAAGCTTTTAGGTCTTGTGTTGATTTTGTTTTGTTGGAGAATTCATCGATAAACAGGGAGTGTATCCCAAAAAAAGGCGTAGTCACCTGCTACTTGCTTTCGGAAGAAGTGATTTTCAGCCCGAAATATAGCTTTCCAAAAACACTGGGACAATGGAAAATGTGCAGAAAGAGCCAAACTTTTCAAATTAAAAAAAAAACTAAAATTGATTTTTTTTTTTTTTTTCAATTTTATTTTACCATGTGCCCTTAAATTAACCGGGTTCGATATCAGGTTTGACTGCAGATCGACATCGTGGCCTCGCTCCCAGTGAGCAAAGCAAGCGCTGCACCCCAAGTGGCATTTCTCCTTCTCTGTCCACATTCACCTTGTCTGACCTCTTAGTGCCTCTCACTGTACATGTGTGCTGCACAAGGCAAAATCAACAATAGGTTCATAAAAATCTCAAATCATAGTAAATCATAACTCACACTATACAAACATTATGTCTGCCATTAAAGTTGCGACGAGTCACACGCTGCTCATCTACAGCGTATGACTCGTCGCAACTTTAATGGCAGACCAACTACACGCTGTATAAATATTCCCATAACCAAATTTATTTTTTTTTTGTTCAGAGCTAAGCACAGCAGCCACAACAGGTGCTGTGCCCTTCCAGGTTGATCAGAAATACCCACCTGGTGTGGTAGGGGCTGTTTTCTCACCACACCCTCCTAGAGGAGACGCCTGCAGGCTTGCCCTGACACACCCTTGTCGAAGAGCTCCGCAGGCTCCCACAGTGATCGGCTGACCATTCTGAGAGAGCGGCCAGGAGTGGCAGCCTTTTCCACGGCATGTGTAAATGCTGCCTCTCGCATTTTGATGCCAGGTCCAAGATGAATCTGCAGTGAATAACACTGTCAAGAAAATGCACAAAAAGTGGAGAAATACAGGCAACACAAATGGACTCTCCACTTTCGTCTGCAATCATGCTCCTGCATTGTTTCACTGAAATGCTGAACTGTAGATATATATAAAAAAATGAAATAAATTAAAGGGGCACTCTCCAGTATTCCAGGATGGCCTATTTATGTTCCTAACTCAACCTATGTGCTCTAACATCCCACAAGTCCAAAACTTACAATCATGTGTGGCCTATTTCACTATTAAAAAATGTGATCAAAGATAGCGAATGCGGTTGAACCGAATCAAGGCGAATAGGATGGAACGGCGAAAGACACTTGTCAGTCAATTGCAAGCGAGGGCCTCTTGTGCAGACGAGCAGGGCTGGTTGGCTGCTTGTCCGGACGTGAAGCTATCGCTTGTGATTGTCTGATGAGCCCCGTTCGTTCCTCACCTACATTCGGCCGGGTTCAGTGCCGCCATTTGTATGTCTGAGATTCACTATCTTTTATCACATTTTTATTAGTGAACTAAGCTGCACATGATTTAAACTTAAATATTTGGGATGCTTAGAGCACATAGAATGTGTTACGGCCATAAATAGGCCGTCTTAGAAAGCTCCCGAGCGCCCCTTTAAAGGGATACTGAAGCGAAACTTGAAATACACCTATTATGGTCAGAAATAGGTTCAATATGATCAATGATATTCATAAATCATAATCGCGCGTTTGTATTTTGAACGGATGGCTATATTTTTCACCCTGATGGGCCCGATTGGGCGCGCGCTCAAAAATCGGCCATCGGAGAGCGCGATGCGTCTTGGGATATTGGGCGCATTCGTGACGTCACTTGTGCCGGTCGGGAAAGGCTACGGCGTGAATGTTGTGGTTACGAGCGTTGCCACTTGGTGGCGCGTCGACGATCTACGACCTGTGACAACGTGGCCGTTTGAGATGTGCAAGGGCTGCACGCACGCTGCACCACGGCAAGTCGGCAACCACGGCAGCACTGACAAAACCAGCTCTGAGGCCAGATTCTCAAAGCGAATTCAGGACGAAAAAAGTGCGTACGACAAATTTCAGAGAAAACCCGCGCCCTCGAAACGAAATTGTCGTAACCTTTGCGCAGGTTACGACAGAATCCTACGACAGCTCCGAAGCTGTCTTACGCACTTTTTACGATCAAATCAACAAGGCCGACAGCGTCGCTCAGTTACTTGGTATCGGCCACCAACGGACATTTGTTTTTCTTCGTGCTCTTCTCGTGCGTCCCGACTTCAACCAGCAAGAAAAAAGGAAGGAGTACTTAAAACAGACCACGACGATCAAGAACGCAGGATCCACAAACACACGAGAAGAGCTACAACAGTCACGATTCTGCCGACCGAGCGAGCACGGCAGAATATAGTAGGCCTAGCAGCAACATCGACTCGGCGCACCGTTGCTCCGGCGGTCCTTGGCCAAGACCGTCTGTCCATGACCGGCTGGCGGGCTGGCTTGCTGAATGGAATATGCCCGCGCGACCCTTGTGGACCCTTACCGGATGA